TGTCACTTGGGAAACACACCTTATGGAAGAAGAGTGTATTAAGAGGAGAGTTATTCCTAAATTATACAATGCTGGGTCACCACACCCTCTATTAAATAGTGCTTCATGTTTTCTGAATTACCATTATCACAATCCCCAGAGAATACTTAAGCAGACCGAAGTGCTGGGTAATTTTCTATTCCTTCCAACTTTATGAGTTCAGAATTGCAAATATAAATGAATGACCCATTCTGCAGTTTTGACATTGTTTTTTTAGATTTCTATGTTAACATGCACTTTAAAATTCTACCTAACAGTAACTGAAAAATATCTGAAATCTGATAGTTCTAGAGTTAGGCAGGAATGATATGTCACATATAGACCCTCTTAGTTCTCTCAAACATTTTCTAAATTTCAGTCATTTCCTTGGCATAAATGAGAAGTAGCAAGAAGAGGAGAAACTCAAGTTGCTGATTTTAAAGTAGACATTCAACATTTATTGAGCAGCTATCTTATTTCAACCCTTTATTATGAGAAGTTTAAATGGTTTTTGTCATTTGCTTGTCACACTTTTATGAATTAGGTTATTAGTTTTAATTTGTAATGGATAAAGTAACCAGTACTTTCAAATGATTCGAGGTAATACGATATTATCTATATTTGAGAGTTTAGGCTTTCACATTAAATAGAGACAGACACAATTTTACTAGTTTTAAAAATTTCCATTTATGGGATCTTTAAAATCAAGTTAAATTTTTCAGGTCTCAATTTTCTTATCTGTAAAATGGGGCTTATAGAAGGGCCTGCCTGATACAATAATTGTGAGGATTAAATAATGTATTACCTAATACTTAGTCCATAGAAGGCACTAAAATATTAGATATTTTAATAATTATTATTAATATGTAAAGCCAAATTGTAAGTGGCTGATCTCAAATTTGAATTCAGATTTATAAGACTCTAAAGTCCTCTGCAAAAATGATGGTTTTTTTATAAAAGGGTAATATGAATAGTATAAAAAAAGATTTTTGATGGATTCTTTGAGGATTGTAAATAATCTGATCTTAATTACTGTAATTAATCATATATTCACTATCCTTTTGTACATTTCTCAGTTTTCCTAAAAATATGTAACAATCATCATTTAATCTACTTTGTTTAGACAATTCTAATATCTCACATGTGATTACTCTCTCTCCTCTCAATGGAGGAAACTATTCAGGTATTTAGTACGTGGTTTATCAAAAAGCTTCATCAATCTCAGATACTTATTGTGGAGCAAGTAAAACTGAGGAATGAATCGCTTGAACAATAATAGTAATGATAACAGTAGTTATTATAGTTAACATCTAATACTTCTAGGTTCAGATATAGGCCTGATCACTCCATTTAGTTCACACAACTTTCCAATGAGGTTGATATTGTTTTATCACCATTTTACAGTCAAGGAAACTGAAGCACAAAAAAAAAAAAAGAAAAGGTTGCCCAAGGTCATAGAACAAGTGGGAGAAGTAGGATTCACATTCAAACTCTTATGCTAGACTTTGTGCCCCTCTGCATTTAGATATACGACACATAAATCAAATAATTGTAAAAAAGACATTCTTTTTTTCTCCTGCAGGTACTTTGATGTGTTGAGTGATGGTACTGACCCCCAAGTGTCTTGCTATATTACAGCACCATTATATGTTCTACAGCAACTCAAATGCCGGATAATTAATCACATGAGTTCTTTAATAGTGAGTGATTATGAAGAGTTGGTCAGCAACGTCATCACTATTGAATGTTCAGATGGGGAAAACAAAATTCCATTTCCAATATGCATTGCAATTCCTTTTACTGCACATTATAGGGGAAATTACAGAGAAATCATGGTGAAAGTGTGTGACGTTCACCTTCAATCAAGTTACCTAAACCCAAATTCACTGGAAGGGGTGACAGGAAGTTCTCAGGTGGGTAGACACTTGGCTCCCCTCCTGCATGTTACTCAGACTAACAGACTGTAGTGTAGATGTAATTGCTCCATCAGTAACAAATGAAAGCATTGATAGATTTGTGCCAGTGCTTTCACATGTTGCTGCCATCCACAAAGATCAAAGAGCAGAAATCATTGGGCAAATTTAGGAATGCAGAAATGGGGTCTAGGACCTGGAAAATGTTTATTCACCTGAAAAACAAAGCCAGCATCACAGCTTAATTACCTTTATGCTATAGACTAGCTTTAGACTAACATTTCCAATGTGACAGACACCTGTCTAAATTTAAGAATATTTGAATCCTCACATGATAGCAGCTTATTTTTTATAAGGGGTACACATATACTTTGAGATAATAATTAGGTAAAAAAATAAAATTTAGTCTGTACCCAGAAGATGGCATATATGGCAGTTAGGATGTGGGCTGCAGAAGAAGATTGCTTAGGTTTGAAATCTGGCTGAAATCCTACACTTTCTTGCTATGTGAACTTGGGTAAATTATGTAACCTTGATGTGACTCAATTTCTTCATCTGAAAAATGACCACAATAATAATGTCTAGTTGATAGGATTAAAGAGATAAAAATATTATAAAAATGACCACAATAATAATGTTAGTTATAAGGATTAAAGAGATAATACACTCAAGAAGATAAAAGAAAGCCTAAAAACACTGATTAGTTGTTAATACATTATCATTTTTGTGGTAGACTATATTGTAATAACTCTGAGGCCCTCTATGATCACAAATTCTCATGGTGTAATGTTGTAAAGAGAGAATATATACACAATTATTAAATTTGGAATTGATGGGGACTAATATTTAAGGTTCTTCCATGGGCCATTGAACTTATTTGTAAATAATTAAAATATTTGTCTTTTTAAACTATATGTATAAGTTGTCCTTATTTGATTAAGAGGGCAGGGAATAAATGTAAAAAAACATGTATGCATAAGAAATTCTTTATAAAATCTCTTTTCTGAGTTTCAAATAATGCTATATAGTTGAAGATGAAAGTTAAGCCCATTCTAATTACTCACTCCAATTAATGTAACTAATGTATTTTATATTTAGCATGTAAAAAGAAAACATTTCAGGATGCTCCCCTTCCCCTCTAATTCCTTGTGCAGAAGAGAATGTGAAGGTCTAGGAACCTGTGAGGAACTGGCCCCACAGATCTTT